CAACTGAGAAACTGAAATAAGGTTATTCACTTGTCTTCCCATCATGCTGTTGAAAGCGTCCAAATGATGTCACATCCTGTTTCACAATAATGTGATAGCGGAATTCACGTGGTAACAGAGCTACACAGTATGTTACGTACAAAGCTAAATATTATGTTTATATGTAAGACAAAATGGGTTTGAATTAAAAGTATATGTTTGAATTAAATGAGTATCAATATTTTAAATAGTTTGTCATTTTTTATTTTAATTGTTGGATACAGTCAAGAAGGCGTAACTTGATTTCACAAGAAAACGCAACTAGTTTACACTGTGGTAAATTGGTGGCGAGTATGAATTGTCACACGGCATGTGAGTACTAAACTAAGTTCTCTTTCATGTCTTATTGCACTTAAACTGTCAAATACACACGTTTATGTTAAAAACACACGAGTTACATAAACAGTCGGTTATGTCTGTGAGGTTAAACAGCTGGGAAAGACATTGCATGTTTTATTTTATATCTGTGTGGCAGCAGCGTAATATACAGTAAATAAATCAATAAATCCACTGCTCTCTTGTCTCCTCTGAGGCTGGGACTCTAAACACTTTCGCTTGAACTTTCACCATGGCGTTACAACTGGTACACCATTGTCGCTTGCAAAAACACAATGGCGGCACCATGGGTGGAAACTTGCAGATTAAGGGCCGTTAATATTATAATAATATTATTTTTTACTTTCTGCGTCAAAGGGGGAGCCAAATCTGAGCGATCTGAACAATTAGATTTTTATGAAAATGTATGATTTTTAGAAACCCTTTTTTAAACCCCTTACGCGACCCCTGAAACTTGTCAGGCGTAAGCAGTATAAATAAGATGATTTGGACAGGCCAAAATTACCTTTTAAATAGGAGTATTAGTTGTTTTATAAATTAGCTACTTTTGCTAGGTTAATCTTAGATAATACTTTATCTTAAAAACAACAACAAAACACAACAACAACAAAAAAGTTAGTATCTCTAATGCTTGAAAAAAAAAAGCCATGGGACAAAATAGTGTATTGTATTTGGAGTGTACACACAGAAACTGCTTCACTACACTAGCGGAGCAACTAGCTGAACTTGAACGAATTTGACATGATTTCTGAAACATTTATTGAATCAACAGAAAAACCCTTCACATACAGTACCTTCCTTTGTGTGCGTCGTACTTTGCTGTGGCTTTTCCCTGTCAAATCCTGCCACACATATTTGTGCAATAATCTTTCTAAGAGTAGGATTGTGTCTGTGACAGATCTTGGAGATGTATTCTCTCTCTGTGTGACCGGTCTAGGAAATGTAATCTCTCCCGTGAAACTAGGCCATGGCATGATTTCATATTTGTTACACTGCCAATAGAGCATCCATTTATTATGCTGTCCCTCCGGCTCTTGTGTTCTAACAGATCACCTTTAGAGCTCATCTACTCCCCTCTTCAAAGTACATATTTCATTATGAATTGTTTTAGGGCTCACATCATATCAAGGGATCCTTTATCCATATTGTTCGTGATGCTTTCAATAATAAATGGAATAATGCATTCAAATGCTGTCAGACTGAAGAACAAGGTGTTATGCAAGGATATGAAAAAATGGCTGGTAGGGTTTTTGGTGTGAGCTGTCCTGTTGCTAGGGTGTTCTGTGTGGTTTCAGGGTTTTGCTATGGTGTTTTTATGGGGAGTTTCTATGGAGTTGCTTTGTAGTTGTTTGGGTGGTTCTTTGGTGCTGCTATGCAATTCCCGAGGTATTCTGAATGGTTCTTAGGGTGTTGCTATGTTGTTGCTCGGGTGCTCTGTGTGGTTCTTAAGGTGTTGCTAGGGTGTTTTGAGTAGTTGCTATGGTGTTGTTATGCAATTGCTAAATGGGGTGCTCTGATTGGTTCTTTATTTGTTGCTTAAGTGTTCTGCTTGGGTGCTCTGTGTGGTTCTTACAGTGTTGCTAGGGAGTTTTGAGTAGTTGCTATGGTGTCGCTATGCAGTTGCTAAATGGGTGTTCTGATTGTTTTTTTGTTTATTTTTTGCTTGAGTTTTCTAAGTGTTTCTTAGTGTGTATTCACACCAGGAAAGTCCACTAGTTCACTTGCTTTGGTCCGGACCAAATACAATGTTGATTTTTTTGGTTTGGTGCGGTTCGCTTTCACACTGCCCTTTTTGCAAGTGAACCAGAAACTGTAAACAAAACCACACTTGTGCTTAAGGTCATCCATTCATTGGTTCATCCATTCAACCGTATGGGACTCGGTACAGTTGTTTGGTCTGCGCCTGAGTGTAATTGCTGTATTCACACCTGCCCAAAAGATCCGCACCAAGGGGGCAAAAGAACTTTAGTTCGATTCAATTGAACCAAACAAGACAGGTGTGAATACACCCTTAGGGTGTTTCTATGTTGTTGCTAGGCTGCTCTGTGTTTATTAGGGTGTTGCTGGGGTGGTTTGAATGGTTGCTATTGTGTTGCTATGCAGCTGCTAAATGGGATCTTCGGATTAGTTCTTTAGTTGTTGCTTAATTGTTCTTAGTGGGTCTTAGGGTGTTGCTATGTTGTTGCTAATGTACTCTGTGTGGTTCTTAGGGTGTTGCTAGGGTGTTTTGAGTAGTTTCTGTGGTGTTGTTATGCAACTACTAAATTAGATATTCTGAGTGGCTCTTAGGGTGTTGTTATGGTGAGAACTACTGTTTTGAGTAGTTGCTTTGGTGGCACTATGCACTGGCTAAATGGGTGCTCTGATTGGTTCTTTAGTTGTTGTTGCTTAAGTGTTCTAAGTGTTTCTTAGAGTGTTGCAGTGTTGTTGCTATGCAGTTGCTAAATGGGTGTTCTGATTAGTTCTTTAGTTGTTGCTTGAGTGATCTACTGTAAGTGGTTCTTATGGTGTTGCTATGGTGTTTTGAGTAGTTACTATGGTGTTGCTATGCAGTTGCTAAATGGGGTGTTCTGATCAGTTCTTAAGTTGTTGTTTAAGTGTACTGAGTGGTTGCTTTGGTGTTCTGAGCGGTTCTTACAGTCTTACTATTATGAGGTTGCTAGGGTGTTTTGGGTAGTTTCTGTGGGGTTGTTCTGCTGTTGTTAGGGTGTTCTAAGTGGTTCTCAAGGTGTTGCTCTACAATCGTGAAGGTGTCCTGTGAGGTTCTGTCTCTTGAGTGTTGAGTAGTTGTTAGACTCTTTATGAATGATTGTTACTATACAGTTACTAAGGTGGTCTGAGTGGTTGTTGGTGGAAGGGTGTTCTGGGCGGTTGCCAGGTTGTTGCTATACCTTTGCTATTAAACTGCATGTTTTATTATTCAGGCAGATATAAACAGCAAGATTCTACTCGCATTGTTGCTCCATTATGACAGTAATTGACTTTGTGTGGCGGAAGACGGTTTAAATTACTGTCCATTATTGTGGCCCTTTCACAACACACTGACGCACAAAACCGAGTTTGCATAGCTAGAAGCATTGGCATTCACATGCTTTTGCAAGAGTTTGTTTCAGACCTTTTGAAGAATTTATTTTTATTTGTTTATTTATTTTTCTGTGGTGGGAGAAGTGAAAGTAAAAAATGGGCAAGTAAAAACACTTACCTGACTGAGCCAGCAGAAAGCATCCTTATTGTTAAGCCCTGCCATAAAAAAAAGCGGTTTTCTAAAGGGGTTTGTTGCATTTGATACATTGGAATGAGTTGGAGAGAAGCACCTGCTGGTCTGAGCCAGTTATTTTCCACCATGACAGTAAATAAACAGTCCACCTGCTATCAGTTAGCTAAGTGGTTGAGGCTTGGGGAAAGGGAGAGTAGAATGGGCGGTACCTTTTGCTTCAGGGAAGGACATTCATCTCACATCTGTTTCCGTTTCACACCCTGCCTGCCTCTGCTTGTGTGTGTGTCTGTTTGAGAACAACTGTGTGTGTGTGCGGACTTTGTGTGCTGGAAAACCATCTTGGCAGATCTGAATCCATGTTCCCAGAGAGATGCAGGTGACAAGGAAGTGCATGATGGGACAGACTTACTATGGAGAAGGTTAGATTTTTGATACAAACCATGATCTGAGGCATGTGTGTGTGTGTGTGTGTGTGTTTGAGAAAGCAGAAGTGTGTAGCAGAAGTATATTGTAGAGCTAACAGAGACTGACTGTACTAATGACCATGTCTGTTCATGTTTTGCTTGAGTTTACCCTGCTTTTGTTACTCGTGGGCACATGAAAGCAATTGGTGTGATTTTTCTTGGGTTTGTGACAAGTACATTTGTTTATTCTGCATGTGTAATTGAAGTGTTTTTGTTGAAAAGATTTCTGTTGTGTCCAACAGAATACTAAATCTAAGCCCCCATTTAATCAACCTATTTACTTTCATAATGCTACAATAAAAAGTTTGTCTTGATTTTTTTCTCACATCACCAAGGTCAGTGTAGCCAGTAGCCAGATAGCTATTTACAGTAGGCTTTGTTTTAGGGCACTTCTGGAGGTAATATAGCCTTTTTCTTAAATATTATTCCAATTCAGTTTGCAGTAATAACAGCGAATAAAGATAGATCTAAAAAAAAAAAAGCCTCATTATTGGGATGCATCTAGGAGGTCTTGATGGCAAACTTGACCTTCAGCCTACATGCCCTGGTCAAAATGCCTCCTCAAAAGTGGGTTCCAGCAGTGTTTCATTCAGGTCTGACTCCATCCTTGTATGAAACGCTCACTTCTCACAATCCAATCAATTCTATATGGACAAAATCAAGTCCTAGTCCAAGTCCTAGTTTTTTCTCATTGTATATTCTGTTTCAGAAATACGTCACATTACAGAGGTAAAACTGGGTTATGAATGCATGTATTATGTTGACTTTGATGTTAAGAACCGTGAAGTGATTAATATTTAATTTTGTGGGAAAATCATCCAGTCCAGAAGGTTTAAGATCTCTCAGACAATAACTTTCGTTTTAGAGTTCTTAGTTTTACTTTACCTACTCTCTGTTCGATGATTACTAATGTCTTGTTTTTTTTGTTTTTTTTTTACCTTCAGGAACATGGGCCTTTAGCTGCCTCACTGGCTTATGTAAGCAGGACGATCTAGTACACAGCTCTAGTACACAGAACTAAGGTCTGACATTCCATCGGACGGGAAGTGTCCGAAGAAAATTAAAGGAGGGAGTTGACAACAGATGAATCAGTCACAGAAATACAGGGAAGCACACTGGACGCCATGAGGGAGGAGAGCGAAGGAATTTTACAGTTTCGACTTTCTCTCGATGAACACTGACAAGTCCACTTAAAGCCTGCCGTGCTCAGGGGAGAGAGTCCCCTGATATGAACCCCAAATCCTTGGGATCTGGAATGCAAACACGCCCTTATGCCAGGGCCTGAGTGAGTCTTCCACCATGTCATGGTAGCATTGTACGCCAAAACATCAACCCTTAAAAAAAATCATAAACTGTAGACTTGGACAATGCATGTTGTGTAACGCCAATCTGAAACTGGTTTCCAGCAAAAGCTTCCTCTAGTATCAGCTCTACTGTATCACCATATCTTTTTACATTGGATATATTTACCGTCCACTCTCCCACTTCCTGGGATTACCAGCTCAATTCCAGGTGCAGTCAACCATGGGGTGCCGGCAGAGTTCGGAGGACAAGGAGGCCGCCCGGCGCTCACGTCGCATTGATCGACACCTCCGCTCAGAAAGCCAGCGGCAGCGGCGTGAGATCAAACTTCTGCTGCTCGGCACCAGCAACTCCGGCAAGAGCACCATTGTGAAGCAGATGAAGATCATCCATAGTGGAGGCTTCAACCTGGAGGCCTGCAAGGAATACAAGCCCCTCATCCTCTACAACGCCATTGACTCGCTCACCCGTATCATCCGCGCCCTCGCCACCTTGAAGATCGACTTCCACAACCCTGATCGGGCTTACGACGCAGTGCAACTCTTTGCTCTCACCGGGCCTGCCGAGAGCAAGGGTGAGATCACGCCAGAGCTCCTGGGGGTGATGAAGCGCTTGTGGGCCGATCCAGGTGTGCAGGAGTGCTTTTGCCGCTCCAACGAGTACCACCTAGAGGACAATACATCCTATTATCTAAACGACCTGGACCGCATTTCTGCGCCCGAGTACATCCCAACCATCGAGGACATTCTGCGCTCACGTGACATGACCACTGGCATTGTTGAGAACAAATTCACCTTCAAGGAGCTCACCTTCAAAATGGTGGATGTGGGTGGCCAGCGTTCAGAAAGGAAGAAGTGGATCCACTGTTTTGAGGGTGTGACTGCCATTATATTCTGTGTGGAGCTCAGCGGCTATGACCTCAAGCTTTATGAAGACAACCAGACGGTAAGGAGAGCCCAATTTTGAATTCAGGCCATTGGTGCGAACAGATAATGCAAGCAGAGACACATGAACTCCATGTTATCTGCACTAGGCTACATACATCTCTACAGTACATTCATCTTGTCCGTGGCACTGACAAACAAACTGCTTTTATCATCTTGCTTCCACATTTCCTGTAGCACACAAGTTTCAGTTACATTCAAGCTATTTAAAGACCTAACAGTACCCCGCTAAAAGACCAACATAGCGTGTTGTGTTTTAAACACTGATGTTCCTAGAAGATTTGGACTGAATTAACCATCAAGACTACATTGGTCATCTAACTTCATCAGAAAGATAATGCTGGGCGACCAGCCAAGGGTAGGTGGTTTACCAGCTTAACCAGCCTAAGCTGGTTTGTTGGTCTTAGCAGGTCTCCCAGCCTTTTGATGCTGATGTTTTGGCTCTTGGATCTTAGATGGGTTTTGGGCCCTTTTCAGCAGTTTAGACTGGGAGATCACCTGGCCTCCCAACTAAACACCATCTTAACCAGTGGTGCGTTCCCTTAGAAGGACATAATGCTGTCTATCTACCATAGTATGATGCAACTACCATGTTTAAGGCCCAGAAGGTAGTAAGGACATCGTTAAAATAGTCCATGTGACATCCATGGTTCAACCGTAATGTTATGAAGCTACAAGAATACTTTTTGTGTACAAAGAAAACAAAAATAACTTTATTCAACAATTTTTCTCTTTCGTGTCAGTCTCCGCCACGCATTCACGAGAGTATCACAATGCATGAATGTGATGCTGTTGATGCAGGAGCCGGCATTCTGATGTGGTGGTACTCTAGTGAATGCCCGTCGAAGACTGACACGTAAGAGAAGAGATTGTCAAATAAAGTTATTTTTGTTTTCTTTGAGCACAAAAAGTATTCTTGTAGCTTCATAAAATTACTATTTTAACGATGCCCTTACTACTCTCTGGGCCTTGAACGTGGTAGTTGTGTTGCTGTCTATGCAGGGTCAACATACATCTCTACAGTACATTCATCTTGTCCGTGGCACTGACAAACAAACTGCTTTTATCATCTTGCTTCCACATTTCCTGTAGCACACAAGTTTCAGTTACATTCAAGCTATTTAAAGACCTAACAGTACCCCGCTAAAAGACCAACATAGCGTGTTGTGTTTTAAACACTGATGTTCCTAGAAGATTTGGACTGAATTAACCATCAAGACTACATTGGTCATCTAACTTCATCAGAAAGATAATGCTGGGCGACCAGCCAAGGGTAGGTGGTTTACCAGCTTAACCAGCCTAAGCTGGTTTGTTGGTCTTAGCAGGTCTCCCAGCCTTTTGATGCTGATGTTTTGGCTCTTGGATCTTAGATGGGTTTTGGGCCCTTTTCAGCAGTTTAGACTGGGAGATCACCTGGCCTCCCAACTAAACACCATCTTAACCAGTGGTGCGTTCCCTTAGAAGGACATAATGCTGTCTATCTACCATAGTATGATGCAACTACCATGTTTAAGGCCCAGAAGGTAGTAAGGACATCGTTAAAATAGTCCATGTGACATCCATGGTTCAACCGTAATGTTATGAAGCTACAAGAATACTTTTTGTGTACAAAGAAAACAAAAATAACTTTATTCAACAATTTTTCTCTTTCGTGTCAGTCTCCGCCACGCATTCACGAGAGTATCACAATGCATGAATGTGATGCTGTTGATGCAGGAGCCGGCATTCTGATGTTGTGGTACTCTAGTGAATGCCCGTCGAAGACTGACACGTAAGAGAAGAGATTGTCAAATAAAGTTATTTTTGTTTTCTTTGAGCACAAAAAGTATTCTTGTAGCTTCATAAAATTACTATTTTAACGATGCCCTTACTACTCTCTGGGCCTTGAACGTGGTAGTTGTGTTGCTGTCTATGCAGGGTCAGAGAGCCCTCGGATTTCATCGAAAATATCTTAATTTGTGTTCTGAAGATTTTTTTGTTACGGGTTTGCAACGACATGAGGGTGAGAAATTAATGACAGAATTAAAATTTTTGGGCGAAACTAACTAACAAGTCATAACTGTTTCCCAAAACTGTAATAACTTTGTTGCACATCCATAAAAACATACTAACAAGAAACCACAGGTTGAGAGCTGTACTGTTGTTCCAGCCACACAACTTTGCAGTGCTGGCAGCACGATAGCCTATTGGGCAGCATGTTGATATGTAGTTTGATTCCCAGCTCAAGGTCTTTTGCCGATCCCATTGCCTTCTCTCCACCCTAAAAGGTGTGTTTATGTTGAGACTTGGAATTAATTTTTCTAAACGACCATCTAACCACATACATTCTCTCTCCATGTGGTAAAGCTAATTGCTTATCAGTGAGTTCAAAGACTGCATACCTGTGTGCGCTACGCTAAACCTTTTCCCTCGACTCACAACAAGAACTTCCAAGTAGTGCATTAGCCTGGAATATCAATTAGAGTTGGGGAGTTAAAAATAAAAGTGTTCTGTGAGTCTTGGGGGGAGGGAGGGAGGGGGGTTGTACAAGAGTGATAATTGAGTTCACAGTGCAAGGTGTCAGGGTGTACCCGCGAGAATGATCAGATTTAGCACTGGGGAAAATCACTGATGTGATGATGGGGGTCAGAGAAAGTTTTGCGTGTCTTCTGCTAGAAAGTTTGAAAGAATAAGGAAGTACCATCTCACTAGGGGAATAGTGAAAAGATAATATATTGAAGGGGGGGGTGATTTATTAGCATGTTTACAAGGTGAATTGATGATTTTCATGGTAGATTCAAATGAAATGAATGTTTTTAAAGGGCACCTATCATGCAAAATTCACTTTTACATGTTGAACATAAATGTGTGTTGGAAGTGTATGTACACAACCACCCTATAATGATAAAAATCCACCCTCTCTTTTTTTTTTTTTTTAATCCCCATTAATTATAAGCAGTGTCTCAGAACAAGCTGTTTGCAGAATCCGTAAAATGTGAAGTCATATTTTACAAGCCCCGCCCACGACTGTTGACGGGCACTGCCGCATTAGCAGAGACACCGCCCTGAGTGAACTGCACACAATCCACCATGTTTATCTTCACGCTAGAGCATTTAAAAGAAGCGTTCAAATAAGAAATGTCTTCTTATTACAGCTATAGATATTATTCAGTCCAGAGCAGGGAGTGATTTTCTGTTTTTTTGTTTTAGTGTTTGGCTCATATTAAAGTGCCCCTATTATGGGTTATGAAAGGTTCCTATTTTGGTTTTGGAAGTCACCAACATCAGGTTGACATGCATGCAAGGTCAAAAAACACTTACATTGTCTTATAATATGCATTTATTTTTACCTTATTTGCTCAACGACTCCCAAACGATTCGCTCAACGATTCATTTTTCCAAAACCCTCCTTTGCGTGACGCTAATCTGCAGTGATTGGTCCTATTGGTCGATTTCATTTCCATTTCATCATGCCTGTAATGCCCGATAAAGCAGCGTTTGTGAGCGCAGTACTGCTTTGTGTACAGCGTTACCGGAGAAACAGCTACGTATTTTTACCGCTCCAAAAGCGGCACCTAGTGACAAAGAATGAATTTGCATTTTCATTCAGACCAACAAGTGGGCGGGCAATATGCTAATGTTTCATGTTGACGTCAACATGAAACGGCTTGGGATTCGTTTTAAAAACGACTCGTTTCAATGATTCAGAGTCAACTCTTTCTTTTGAGAGACAATAACTTTATACACGGATGTTTTCATTCACTTAGAGTTGTGTTACACACTGCATGAAAGGTAATTTTCAAAAATCCATAACAGGGGCACTTTAACAGCATAGACAGCAGTATAGGTTTTGTATATTATGCTGCTGTCACTTAATACACAGATCTAATATAAACATGTGATTTCTTTCCCAGCTATTTACCTTCACAGACATAACCAACTGTGTTTTTGTAACTTATGTGTGTTTTTAACACACTTGTGTGTATTTGACAGTTTAAGCGCAATAAGTCATGAAAGAGAACTTAGTTTAGTACTTGCATGCTGTGTGACAGCTACTTTCTGTGTGTGTGCTTCGGATGTGCGCGCTCAGGAAACCGTATATCAGAAGTTTAAACTAATATGGTTTAAACCGCATGATTTCAGCACGATAGACATGATAATAAAAACAAACAGATGTTTTTAGCAGAGTATCCATAGTACGAGCTGTAAAGGCACAGTCCTATTCTGGAAAAGGGGGCAGGGAGCAGCAGCTCATTTGCATTTAAAGAGACATGCACGAAAACAGCCTGTTTTACAGTATTGCGAATGGTGCATCAATTAGCTTTAGGACATCTTGAATATCCTGTTTCAGATATATATTATATTATGGAAGTGAAACAGCTTGCTAACGTCATGTAATGTTGTTTTTAAAAGATACAGTGTATAAATATGATACATCAGGGTTTTTTCCATGTTCATAAGAAAGATGTTGTTGCTGTGCTTTTTTGTTCTCCTTGACCATCCAGGAAAGGCTCATGGAAAATCTGGGCTACACAGGGCCTCAAGAGTTTCGTAAACATACGCTAACAGCTAGATGAGCATGTGTTTGAGCTCCAGGGTCTGGTGTGAGCCTCTGAAATAGATTACTATAAGCACTCATCTCTGAACTGGCCCACATGTGCTGCCGCTTGTGTGCTGCCATTCTGCTCTGGTTCTGCAGAATTTGTGAAATGACACTCTGCGCATTCACTCACTCGCACGCATCGGGTGCGGCAAAAGGGATCGGTGCGGTCACCGAATGATTGAGTCAGAGTGGCAGAGAAGGGTTTAAAGCAATGCTTTGTGGTCTTGAGAAAGTCTGTCTGAATGGACTGTCTGCCACAGGGAGAGACACGAGCATTAGAAGAGAAATTGAACGACGATGCTCCGAAGAATGTAGTTAATAGGAGGAAATCTTGCTGACTTGTGTGTTAAATAGACAATGTTGACTAAGATGACAGGGACGGGCAAGTGACACTAAAAGCTTTTGTACTACAGTAATGT